ATATATATATATATATATATATATATATATATATATATATATATATATGTGTGTGTGTGTGTATATGTATGTATAGATAATGGTGATGGGCACGGAAGAAGAGCGTCGCTTAGAGGAACTGTTGTTGTCGTCATCGAGCGAAGAAGAACCAGAAGAAGAAGAAGAAGATGAGGGCATGGGGAGAGTAGAGGGGGATGTGCCGCAGGATGAGATAGAGGAGGAACCAGAACAAGAAGAATAGAAAAAGAAGAAGAAGAACCAGAAGAAGAAGAAGATGAGGGCATGGGCAGGGTAGAGGGGGATGTGCCACAAGACGAGATAGAGGAGGAGCCAGAGCAGGAAGAGTAAGAAGAGATAAAGAAGAAGAGTAAGAAGAGATAAAGAAGAAGAATAAGAAGAATAAGAAGAAGAAGAAGACGAGGGGATGGGGAGAGTAGAAGGGGATGTGCCACAAGATGAAATAGAGGAGGAACAGGAACAGGAAGAATAAGAATAAATAAATAAATAAATAAATAAATAAATAAAAGAATAAGAAGAAGAAGACGAGGGCATGGGGAGAGTTGAGGGAGATGTGCCCCAGGATGAGATAGAGGAGGAACAGGAGCAAGAAGAATAAGAAGAGATAAATAAATAAAAGAAGAAGAATATATGTTTATAAGAAGAAGAAGAAGAAGAGGATGAAGGCATGGGGAGAGTAGAAGGGGATGTGCCCCAGGATGAAATAGAGGAGGAACAAGAGCAGGAAGAATAAATAAATAAATACAAAAAGAAGAAGAAGAGGATGAGGGCATGGGCAGGGTTGAGGGGGATGTGCCGCAGCATGAGATTGAGGAGGAACAGGAACAGGAAGAATAAATAAATAAATAAATAAAAAAAGAAGAAGAAGAAAAAGAAAAAGATGAGGGCATGGGCAGGGTTGAGATAGAGGAGGAGCAGGAACAAAAAAAATAAGAATAGATGTTGTTGTTTTTTTTTTTCTTTTTCTTTTTTTTCTTTTCTCTCTTTCTTTTTCCTTTTCTTTTTCTTTTTCTTTTTCGCTTAGATGTGAGGGCTTGGTTATGTAGGGGGAGAGATAGATAAAAAGAATAAAAAGAATAAAAAAAATAAAAAGAAGAAGAAGAAGAAGAAGAAGAAAAAGAAGAATAGATCAGTATGCTTTACTTATACTCTATTACTTATACTCTTTTTCTTTTTTCTTTTTCTTTTTCTTTTTTTTCTTTTTCTTTTTTTTCTTTTTCTTTTTTTTCTTATTGTTGTTCTTGTTGGGTTCGGAGACGATATGTAGGAGGAGAGAAAGAAGAAAAAAAAGAAGAGATGAATATGTTTATACTCTATTACTCTATATACTCTTTTTCTTTTTTCTTTTTTCTTTTTCTCTTTTTTCTTTTTTTTCTTTTTTTTTCTTTTTCTTGTTGCTGTTCTCTTCTTGGGTTTAGAGAGACAAAAGAATAAAAAGAATAAAAATTTTTATTCTTTTTACTCAGCTAGCTCGCGTGCTTTTGTTTATACAAAAATAAAAATAAAAATAAAAATAAAAACAAAAACAAAAAAAAGTATAAACAAAAGCATCGTAGTTTTGTTGTTTTGTTGTTTTGTTGTTTCGTTCTTCTTGGTGTTGTTTTTGGGTGGGGGTGGTTGTGGTGGTGGTGGTGATGAGATAGAAAAGAAGAAAAAAAGAAAGAGAGAAAGAAAGAGAAAAAGAAAGAGAGAGAAAGAGGAGAGAAAGAGAAAGAGAGAGAGATATATGTATAGGCCTGTAGTGGGGCTGCATGCATGCATGCATGCATGCATGCATGCATGCATGCATGCATGCATGCATGCATGCATGCGTGTGGTGCTGGAGTGCAATGAAATATGTGTACACTTGAGGAGAAGAGAAAGAAAAGAAGAAAAAATATTTATTTTTATTTCTTCTTATTTAACACAACCAGCACTATAAATATGGGAGATGTGTGGCTACCGACGCATGCATGCATGCATGCAGCGCAGCGCATGCATGCATGCATGCATGCAGGGCATGCATGCATGCAGCGCATGCATGCATACAGACAACTCAAAGCCCCACAGCCCTGTTTTCTCTTGGCTTGCAGTCTGGGACTGCATGCACGCATGCATGCATGCATGCATGCATGCAGGCATGCATGCATGCGTGCATGCATGCAGCCCCAAGCTGATGGTGGTTAAGGGAACTGTGGGTTGGGGGTGGGTGGGGTTGTTGTTATTGAGGTTTTGTTTAATATTAGAAATATAAAAAAATAAATATATTGAGAGATGTTAGTTGTCTTCTGTTGCACTTATATTATTTTTTATTTATTTATTTTTATATGTAAACAAATAAATTATAAATAAATAAGAAATTAAATAAAGATAGATAGAGATAGGGCCCCTAGGAAATAGATAGAGATAGAAAGGAGACAGGAGACAGAGAAGCAGAAGAGAGACAAAAGGAGACAGATAGCAGCTAGAGAATGGAAGGAGACAGAAAGGAGACAGAAAGGAGACAGAAAGGAGACAGAAAGGAGACAGAAAGGAGACAGAAAGGAGACAGAAAAGAAACAAGAGGAGACAAAAGGAGACAAAACAAATAAACAAAAGGAGACAAAAAGGAGACAAAAAGAGACAAAATGAGATAAGAAAAAAAAACCAAAAGTTAACCATCTTCGCTTGAAGACACATACCTCTATATATACATAAAATATATATATATATATATATATATATATATATATATATATATACATATATATATATATATATATATATA